TATTTTCCATGAACAATAGCTAATAAGTATTCTTTTTGTAGAGTAATGTAGTACTTCCACCTATGAAGAAAAAATAAAGGCAGAGGTTCCTTCTACCCAGTGCTCACAATATTCATTTGCTCATCTCTGATTCTTGAGTCTTCAATAAAGTGATCATGGAATGATTAGATTCTCTCAAAGAGCTTTTTAAATATAGGAAAAAGAGCATCTAAGAAACATGATTTCAAACCTCCTCTCTCAATTAGTTTTCTTATGTTTGTTTTTTCAGCCGATGACATTTTCTCTCCCTTTTTTTTATTCTCAGTATGACCTTTGTCATCTCCCCGTTCTTTAATTGAAAAGATAGCTAAGATTCATGACACAAGCGGCAAACCGAATTCAATTCCTAATTCTATAGATTGAACTTGGATATGATGAATATTGACCGTCCTTTAATCCTAGTATATGAAGATGGCAAAAAACATCGTTTGAGCAGAGGACAGATGATCGTATCTGTGGTGGAGCAAAGTGGCTTTTGGGGAACGCAACACGATGGTTATGAGAATTGGAGAGGCGGAAGGGGGAGATGAGATGGGAGTAAAATAAACCTAGACTTGCTAGGGTTAATTTAGAAAAAGTGTGACTATTTTGCTCTGTATACTAACTCTGGCAATATCACTGTCCAGATATAGTTAATTTGTTAGAAAAAATATGGTTTCAAATTCAAATAGTTAATTCTTGTTGATTTAGATTATTTTAGTGGGTTGCTAAATGCAACTTGATTTTACTTCGCTCAGCTTGTAAAATTGACTAAAATACCCCTAAACCCTAAACCCTCCCAAATTCTTTCATACGATCATTTCCTTTTTACAAGTTCTCACAAATTCTTTCATTATATTTTCAAAAAATCACTAATTGTTGATGGTTTGTAATGGCGGAGAATCAAAGAACACGGGAAACAGGAGAAAATACTTCTCAACAGGTAATTGTTCGGCGAAGTTCACTTTCTTATTGGTGTGATCACCATTGTCATTTCTGGCGGATTTCTTTTTATTAGGAGAAATATTTGCGTAAAATTTTATGACTTTGGTATGATTGCTGATTATTGATCGTGTTATTTTTTCCTTTTTGTCAATTTCGTTTTGAAATTTCCTTTCCGTTGGACCTCCATGTGTGTTTATGCATGCTTTTTTTTGTCTGTTTCGATCATGTTAAGGTTTGGTGTGCCCCCATAAGGTGTGAAAATACTTCAGACATTGTGTTATTGATTCATGTTTTATATACGTGTGATTGAATTATTTGTTAATTAAAAGTAATACTTTTTTTCGATCTCCTATCAAGAGTTATTTCAAAAAAAAAATTAATTAAAATAAACGTGGACAAATTTAAATTTTTCAGAATATTAGTGGACAGAAATATATCCCTCGGATTTTCGAAATCCGAGTTCTAATTAAAATTAAATATTCAAATTTCGTAAATCCGAGCCTATATTTAATAATAAAATAATAATTAAATAAAATTGTTGAATAATAGTTTTTAAAAATTCTTAAATGAACAGTGCCGTTCGGATTTCCGGAATTCGGATTTATTAAAAAATAATAAATTGAGGCGCGAAATATTTGAACTCAAATAAGGACCTGGAGTCCTTAAATAAACAGTAGTACTCGGATTTACAAAATCCGAGTGTACAAAAAGAAAAAAGAAAAAAAGAAAATCGAGGCGCAAAATTTTTGAATCAAAAAACCGGAAGTCTGTAATCCGGTTTTCTGTATTCGGATTTTGGAAATCCGACTGCCTTTAATTTTGGTTGGTGGAAGTAGGCATGTGCCATAAATTGGAGGACCAAAAAATGAATAAAAAAATCCGGAATTGACTAAACTCGAATTCAGGAAATCCGATGCCACGGTAATTCGGATTTCTAAAATCCGATTTACTTACAGACGAAATCCGAGTTTAACGTGCTATAAAAGAAAAAAAAATTCAGACAGTTCTATTTCGAGAACTGAGTTGGATTTTCTGTTTTTGCAGCTCAAACAAGGGCGAATTGGAGCTTTTGATGCATTCTTGCCTCTAGATACGTGGGAATTGTTATTTGAAAGAGGTTAGATTACAAAACCATGTTATTTAGTTTAGTTTTGTGTTATTTTGATTGTTAGAATGATGTATGATAGATTAGGGTTTATGTTGGTTGGTTGTTTGGATGTTTTAGGTGTTGATTTTGAGGTTAGAGATGAGAAATCATAGTTATTCATGTGATATGGAAGCTGATTTATAAGTATTTTAGTAATTTATAGGCTTTTTGAATGGAGTATGGTGTATTTGTTGATTTTGTTATTAAGAAATGATTAGTTATTGGTGTTTTTTTTTAACAGTTATCAACGGCACGTAATGGATCATACATGCTTAATTTGTAATACAAGCAAGTATGTGATAGAGAATGGTAGCATCAACACTTTTTCGAATATGCCGGATGATGGTTTGTTTGTTGAGGAAAGGTTGTCATATGAGGGATTGATTAGTAAGATTTGTATGACACTTGGTTGGGATCCAGCACACGTGAAACTCCACCTTTCTTTGATTTTCGATAGTCCCGGTGGTAGGCGTGTAGTGAAGATCAATAATGATTTGCATGTAGAGTTCATGAACCGTGTAGATCCAATGTCATGTTTGGATTTATACATAGATTTGGAAGATATCACTCAAGAAGAAAGAGAAGCGAGTTTGGAAAACGTGTCATTTGGTGGTTTTCCAAGGGGGGAACGTGCTAGTACTTCTCGAAACCGTGATGAAGAGGAGACACCTTTATTTGCACAAGATGACTACCGGGAAGAGTCGGATTCCGACTACATAGCTCCCAAGTGAAAGTGAAGAAGACTGTGATGTCTCCCGGAGAGAGTGATTTTGAAGAAAGTGATGATGAAAGGTTGGAAAATGAGGAAAGGGATTGTAATCCATTGCCCTGACGCCATGTATATAGTAAGATGGGGACTGGGATGCCTCATGTGTGGACAAGGATGAGTTTGCTCTTAAGATGTGGGATGAGACGCCCGAAGGAATGGACATTAGTGTTTGTTTCAAATCTCAATTAGAAGCAAAGCATGCTGTGAAATTATCGAACATCCATCATAAAAGGGAATATACGGTCACTGCGAGTAGTCCAACGACGTGGGCTGTGCGGTGCAGAACATTAAATGTGGAAAGTGAGGATGGTGAACCACCATGTGACTGGAAGATGCGTGTGTCTTTGAAAGCTCACGGCCTTCATGAAATTGTGAGATGGCATGATGCACATAATTGCATGACTCCCGTGAATGATAATGACAATCGGTGTGTGAACGCGTCTTTGATTGCTAGACTCATCAGGAGAAATGTTGAGGACAACGTAGATTATACGGTAGCCTCGGCACAGAAAGATGTGAAGACCTTATTGAAAGTAGATGTGTCATACAAAAGGGCGTGACACGGGAGGAGGAAAGCCATAGAAGCGGTCTATGGTGATTGGACCTCGAATTTCGAAGAACTTTCATGGTAAATATCAAGGTTTATTCGTGTATTGAAATATTTTTAGTGTTTTTTTTTTTTGTAAAGGATACGAATTTCGTAAATCCGAGTAAGTAGCCAACTGAGAGTTAGCATTTTGCAGAAAACAGAGTAGATTCGGATTACGGTAATCCGAATCTACATTCATTCGGATTACCATGATCCGGGTTTTTCCAAATTTAATTTTTCAACACATTTTTTTTCTATCCGGAAATTAGTATTTTATTCGTAAATATGGATTTGGAAAATTCGGATTTAGATTAATTACACTAATTTCTGTCATTAACTTAATATCAGATTTACGTAACACAAAGTAGGATTTCTATAATCCGAGTTTAGAGAGGTTCGGATTTCGGAAATCCGAGTTTTCCCCCCATTCGGATTTCCTAAATCCGGGACATATAAGTTTGTCCACAAAATTTTTGGAAGGTTTATTTTTGGCCAGGTATATATAAGGAAATATATTTAAGGAAAAAATTCCTCCTATCAATGCGACATGTATACAAAGAAAATTTTCAATTGAGTCAGAACACTCAATTTTGTCCTGAAATACTCATCTCTTAATATTTTAGGATTATCCCCATTTCAAGAAAATAGTCTAATCTTTTATTCATTAAAATCTATAAATTGGACTTATGATATATAGTAGAACATCTATAAATTAATAATAGATAAATTAATAACATCTATAAATTAATAATTTTTTCCGATCCCAAATAGGGACCAGTACAAAAAAACAAAGGCAATCGATAAAATAATAAGATAATAATTTTTCAGAAAACTCTTATATAAATATAGGCACTGTGAACATAATAAATTAATAATGACTTGAAATATATATATATATATATATATATAATTAGAGGCTGTAAAATATGAATCTACTGATGTATGGTTTTCTTGAAATTTACATCTAAAGATTCCATCTTTCAATTTTTTCATTACTTTCAAAAGATCTGGCATAGATTTTCATATTGCAACTACAAATTTCGAAATTTTTTGCCTCATTAAGTAATTCATTTCATGTAATGGGTTTTGAGAACACTGAATAATCATCATTTTCATTTTAATTCAAAGTTTTAGTGATAGTAACTATAATGTCTCAAAAGATTTTATTAACTCATTGTTAATTTATTATTGATAAATTAATACATCTATAAATTAATAATTTTTAAGGTCCTAACAGTATTAATTTATAGATGTTTAACTATATATATATACTAGATGCTTGCCCCGGGCAAATGCCCGGGAACGTCCTCCCACCTAATAAATTGATATGTAAATAATCAAAACTGATTAGGAATGAATTTAGTTTTTTATGAAGATAATTGATTGACCAAAAATTAATTTTTTTGAAAGTCCTAAATAAGTGAAGAAGGAAAGTTCCATTCACTGTCAAATTCAAAATTTGAATGAACATGGCCATCTAATCTCTTCGTTAATATTATAAATATCTTTTTTGTTTTTAAAAGGGGTGACACGTGGCAGAATAGTTTATGCAATATGGTGCATTTGGAGCCAAAATATTTTTATAAAAAATTGCCACATCAACATCATGTTTTCTGCTTTAATAGGGTAAAAGAGATATATACATATCTTTTAAGATTTATTATGGAAGAATTCATAAATAGGTATGATCTTCCATTCAATTTTTCATATTATTTTTCTAATTTGAAAGATTAACTCATCCGATTTATAGACTTTGGTCTTTCAAATTAAATTATTTCAATAAAGTGAAATATCAAAATAAAACACAGTGGTTGTAACACATATTAATGAGGTGTTCTGGTAAACATGTATGTATCACACTCGTTAATAAGATCCAAACCGATATCTTTTTATATTTGAATAATAGTAAGAAAATCTTTTAGCTACCAAAATAATAATTCAACTCCTATAATTTGAGTTGTAATCTAGAAAAAATGCTATTAATCTTGAGTTCTTCCTCTAGATGAGTCTCCAAATATGGCTGCCAATCCATCTCCTCCGCCACCGCCACCACCATCACCACCGTTGATCATTCCATGCACAAAATCCTGACCAACTCCTTGTGAATTAGTACCTTGAACAAATCCTTGGACACCTGAACTCATCAAACTGCTCCGGCTAACAAAGTTCGGCCTCATAATTACTTGTCCTTGTCCATGCACAACCGCTTCCGCCGCCGCATTCCCAGGCCGAAATTGATGGTGGGCCACCGTGTTTCCGCCCATACTAACAACACTCTGTATCACCTGATGTTGATGGAATAGACCATGAGAGGAATACCGGGTCGTCGATTCCACAACCGGGTTTTGAGAAAACGGATCAGCCAGCCGTCCGCCGTCGTGAACCGCCGCCGCCGGCGGATCCGGGTTGGTGGCGGCCGCGGCGGCGCAGTCCAAATGGACGTCGAATTCACACACCCCGCATCGGTAAAGCCATTCTTTGAACCCAATCCGATGACAAACATCGCAGGAGAATCCTTTGGCATTGTCATAAGGCTTTGTGAAGGTTAATTCAAGCGGGCAAGCATGAAATTGATGAGTAATCGTAAGAGGCTTAAAAGCACATCCCACATGAAGATCATACTCGCAGCTGCTGCAATGGTAGCTGAAACCTTTACCCTGGCGGTTACAGGCGTCGCAATTGAACGCGCCGCCGGGGTACGCTGCCGTCGGGAGGAGGGTCAAGGTGTGGTTTTTATGAGAAGGGTGGCTGATGAGCTGAGGAAATCGAGTACATCCGAAATGGATGAAAAAATTGCAGGACATACAGAAATACAGAGGTTCATTTGTTTGAAGCTTGCAACAAGAACAAATGGGTAATGATGGTTGATCTGTTGATGATGATTGGATTTGGAAACTCAAACTCCATAGCTCCAATTGATGTGGGTGGCTAAAATGGTTCATTTTTAATTTTTTTGGACATGGGACGAGGTTGAATTCGAGGATTCCTCTGTTTTTGCGAAACAGGGGAACAATAAATGACGAAGATGAAAAATTTGAGGGAATTCGGGGAATTCAGAGAATGAAGCAATGTATTTGTACTAGAGGTTTTTACACTTTTTTAGTACTGATACAGCAAGAAATATGATCCTACCATTTTGACTTTGTGAGTCTGGCCGAGTCAAATTTCAAGTTTCAACGCGCAGTATTAATGTCTTGTATATCTGGATTGAGTTTTGCTCTATTGGTTGACTTTTGCTCTAAGCCTCTAAAACCTTAATTTGAACAATTTTGCATGTGGATCCATTTGACTAATTGAAGTTTACTTCTCTAATGGTGATCCCCGGAGAATTGAAGTAATAAATGCCCACGTTCGAGAAGATTTCATGTGGTGCCTTAATTAGTTATGTGCGTTATAGATCAAATTCAGACTAATTCTTATGAATCTTGAAATACATAATCTTTGTTTTAAAATTATTGTCCAGTTTTAGACTTTATTTTTAGTACAATTTAAATTAAAAATGAAATCTATGCTAAACAATAATTTTGGAACAGAAGAAATATAAGGCGAACATCTCCAAAATTAGTAAACGTGTGGAGGGTTGACTGGCTTGTAAAGGATTCTATAGTAGACTGTAGATTCATAAACTAAAATTTTGCTTTTTTAACAAAATAATTAGATTGTATTCCAAACACCTAAAAATATAATTACCCCTTTGCCATATTTCCTTTTGTAGTTGGCTTGTTACTAAATTTTTTTTTTCTATATTATTATTGATAAATTTAATGAGTTATATGACCCAATCCACGCAATCTATTTCAAGATGGGTCAAATCCAAGTTGGATTACGGCCACTACAACATAAATAGGTTGACTATATATATTTAATAATAAAAGTTTTTTTTTTATAATAATGTAATTGACATTTTTGTCAACCAGCTGCAATTGGACCTACGGGTCGCAGTTTATACTTAATTATATTTCAAAAGAAAATTTCAAATTTGGGACGATGGTAATGGTCGGCCAATGGCTGGTTAGATTTCATTGTCCAATCATTTTCATTATTCATTTATATTTCACGAATATTAATGGGAAGTGAAGAAATGATTCGCTGTGTAAAACTTAACTTGTAAGTTACAAGTCTGTGGTGTTGCAATTGGTACTCCTTCTGTCCTAAAATTATTGTCCAATTTTAATTTTTACTTTATGTATCATTTGAATTAGAAATGAAAATTGAAACTAGATAATAATTTTGGGACGGAGGGGGTATATAACCGGCATAATTTAAGATACAAGTGTTACATTTGATATTTATAGAATTTGTATGCAAACTTTGTGCTATTCATAACTCTACAAAAAAAAAAAATACTTTTCAATATTTCCGAAGGCTGTATAGATAACATTCTTTTATCCCAAGAATTGATAAGGCTGTATAGACGGAAAAATGTTAAGACTAGTTGTATGATGAAGGTCGATATACGGAAAGCCTATGACACGGTAAACTGGAACTTTATAGAGGAGATGCTAGAAGCTTATGGTTTTCCCCAGAAATTTACTAGATGAGTTATGGTTTGTGTAACTGGGTGTTGGTTCTCGCTAAACCTCAATGGCAGTAGTGTAGGATTTTTTGAAGGGAGACGTGGACTGAGACAAGGGGAACCCTATATCCCCCTTGATCTTTGTCCTGGTGATGGAGTATTTGGCACGCTGTTTTAAGGTAGCTGTGAGTAGCAAACATATACAGTTGCACCCTAAGTGTGGAAAACTATACCTCACTAATCTAGGCTTTGGTGGCATGGAATACTGTCTGCAAGCCCAGGAATGAGGGTGGATTAAATGTAAGGGACCCTATAGTATGGAATGAAGCAGCAGTAGCTAAGCAAGTGTGGGATATAGTTGAGTGTAAGGAGATTCTGTGGGTTAAATGGATACATGACTATTATTTGAAAGGAAAAAACTTGTGGGATTATGATCCACCAACTGATAGTAGTTGGCATTGGAGGAGGATGATGAAAATCAAAAACAGGCTGAAGAATGACATAGCTACTGGTATCCAGAAGCAGGACAGTAAAGAATACACCACAATGAAGGGATACCAGCAGTGGAGGGAAAAAAGGGGGGAAAGTTTCTGATGGCTGAGGTTATCTGGAACAGCAGGTGTATGCCAAAGCAAAGTTTCATAGCTTGGCTTGCCTGCCAAGGGAGACTTTTGACTATGATCAGAAATTGAAGTGAACTGCATATGACTATGATCAGATCACACACGAAAAAATCCATAAGAAAATATACAATAATACAGTTGGTATATAGTACCTTAGATTTTGATGATCAACTAAATAATTGGGTAATGGAATGCTTAAGCCCAAACGTTTATTGGCTCAGGAAATTGTTATCATACAGGCCTTTTAAGTTTTAACTACTAATCATCGAGGCATCGACAGGTTCTAATAATTACTCTCCAAATAGGGGCCGAGAAGATCATTGATGTTATACTTGCATCCTTTCCTTTGGAATTGCATGCATTATTGCATCTATATGTAGACATCCAGCTAAGAAATTTTTTCATATTGAACGCGAAGAGTAACAAAACTGACCATTGGAAAGTGTGACTTTGACATCAAACTTAAAATTGAAAAATTTGTCATAAAACTGCTATAGAAGCGTTTTATACCATATAACATGAAGAAAACTTTATTATCAAATGACGGTCGATTATACTGAAAATATATATAAAAAAAATCACATACGTAGATGTTGCACAACTCATATTTAAACGGTCAAATGGATGGATTGGAGGGCCAAACATAGGGGATTAAAATTACGTAAAAAGCCTTTTATAGAAATTGTAAAGCATAATGGCTCTAACCATTTTCAGTATCAAAATATTCAAATGTGTCGAAAGAGCAAGGTATAGAAAGTTCGACGTCAAATAACACAATATTTAACTTTATGAGGACCGAAAGTGCAGTTTTTTATTCTCTCGTTTGCCAAGTGTAAACTCTGAGACTCCCAAGAACCTTCCTTCAACCCTTGCATTAAGCAAGCTCATCAATCAATCAATCATCATTATCGTCTTCTTCAATTTCTGAAAAATTCATCGAAAGCTTCAACACACACACACACACCTGCACTCTCGCACAGTTCGGAATTAGGGATTCAATGGCGCTGCAATGGATCATACTGACCTACGTCGTGGCCGCGGAGGCGGCCATCGCGATTCTCTTAACCTTGCCCACTCCGAAGGTTGTGAAATCGCGTTTGGTTTCTCTCGTTTCCCTCATCCTCCAGCCGTCCTTGTTCGTGGTTCCGTTCTCTGGTTTCCAGCTTATGGGTGAGTGCATATTATGGATTATAATTACTAGTGATTCGTGCCGCTAATTCTGTTTGTTTCGATTACTGGCACTGAGGTTTTGGTTTAATTCCTGTTGTATGGAAACGAATTTGTAGATATTTATTGGAAACAAGAGCATCGCTTGATGTGTTCTGGAGAGACTTGCACTGCTTCCGAGAGAGATCGCTATGAAAAATCGGTACTCTTTTTCCCCCTCTTTGTGTTAATAAATCTTGTTGCAGTTTGTGGAATGCAATTTTGTTTCGCGCTGTATTAATGTTATTTTGAAACTTGAATGAACTTTGCTTTGCAATTTTAGAGCTGTCTGTGATCAGTTCTAGTTGGATGAACTTTTCTCAATTACTTGTTCCTTTAGGTGACACTGTGATTGTATAACTCCTTGTGGGAATACTTAAATTTTCTGTATCATTTCTTAGGATGATTTCTTGAGTTCAGATCTTTATTGAGGTGTATGAGTGAACAACGAGTCCCCTAGTATATCGTTAATGCAGAATCAATGTGGTCACTTGTTTTCTTGGCTCCCCAAGAAATAGTTTTGTGCCAGAGGAACTTACTGGAGTATGGATTATAGTATCTGTCTTCGATTCTATAGTATCTACTACATGATGGTGCCAATTCATTCCTTTATTTTGAACAACTTCCTTCAATGAAGGTCTGTGAGACACAGTGGGAACAAAAAAAAAATTAAAAAATTGTATGTATTAGGTGGGTGAGACTCGTCAATTTTCAGAGAACAAAGGTTTTACCATAAGGGAATTGAAGTTAGCTACATACCATGTTTATCTTGGCTGTATACTTATTTTACTGGTGGGGTGTTACACCTGTCAATTGCAGACCAGACTGATTTCCGTTTGTCCCTAATGAATTCACGGGTTTAAGGGCACTTACTGTTCTGTTGGCTTGTAATTTGATGGAATATCTGGAGAGAGCTCTTGTGTACTTAATGGTCGACCATTTTTTGTTCGTTAATGAATTTGTAACTTAAAGTATCTCTATGCCACTTCATTGCAATTAGATTAGTGGACGGTATTATGTTGCAACTGAGATCTCTGTTGATGCAAAAGCATCATGAGATTGAGTGAAGGTTTGTCTCAGGAATGTTGTGTAGGTCAATGCTTGCTGTGAACTGATATCATTTCAATAATTTTAGCTGGCCTGAAAACTACCCTTTTTTGAGATAATCTATTGTCTATTAAGCTAAGCTTCTCTTCCGTGATTGTCCTATATGTTACCAGTTCTTGTGGAGAACCTTCCACACTATACTCTCCCACTCTTTTTGATGTCTCTGTATTGTATGGGGCAAATTCAAGCAAATTGTATATTCTTGTTACTAGCTTGAGTTCATGTTGCTTCCATGGCACATTCTACCTTAGTTCATGCTTATTTCGTTTGGGATCTTTATTCAGTTCCTCTTTCTTATTTGCAGATCTACAAGGCTCAGAGGAATGTGATTCTCTGTGCTGCTGCCGTCCTCCTTTACTGGTACATGTTTGCTTATGGTTGACCCTTGGTTTCTATCCCGATTCCTTCTCCTGCTTGTGAATAATATAACCTTTTGTTTACACCTTATCACAGGTGTATCTACCGCGTTTGCAAGTATTACAAGGACATCCAGAGCATGGAGGAGGTGGAGAAGAGGTACAAGGATCAGTAAGCTTTCTTGCCCATATTCCACTGTGGGTAAGGATATACCAGACGTTCTTTAGATTTAATATATCAAAATTGATTGTTTAATGTGACCCCATGTATTCACGTTCTGAGTGAGAGGACTCAGTTGTTTTGTAATGAGTTTCTGAGTGAGAGGACTCGCAGTTGTCGTGTAGAGTGGTTTCATGTACCGGTACGTTGTCATTTCAACTTTAGATTCACAAAGAAACTTATTGCAGCGTTCGTGGCTTCATTGTAGTTCTGGATAATGTAGTTCACTTTCTACTATGCCGGTGATTTTGTTGAGATTTTTTTTTTTCCCAGCAATAAAATCTTCTATAGCTTTGAATGTATGTTTTGTCGTGGAATAGTGAACTTAAAAAATAGTTGTAATTGGTGTGACAAATGACCAACCCACAGCCATGAATGGTCAATCTGGGACTGATTTTCCAAGCACGGGGTTTGCCATCCTGATGGAAGACCTGAAAGACCCCCTTCAACCAATATTGTTGCCGGATAAGCTGTGTTTACGTCAGTTGAGTCACCTGGATTTGAGCCTAGCTTCTTCTGCTCTAAGCGGTCAAGGAGTGAGAGGTTGATTCCTTTTATGGTGCTTCTTGTATCTATTGGAAAATCAGCTCTTTAAAACATGCGTGATCTCCTATATCAAAATTGAAACCCAATGTCGATTCCTGCAAAATTCAGTCTGAATGGAGATCGAAATTGCAACCCAAAGTCGCTTCCTGCAAAATTCAGTATGACCATTCAGAAAACTGTAAGAAGGAATGCATTTTAAATGGCGCTCCGCACCAGACTTTTGTGTGCTTACCTAGCCATTCACCGAATAAATCCATTTTAGCTTATCTGATTTTGTTATATCCTGCGTACGGATGCATAAGTATATAGGATCTTCTCAACTACTCCTGATGGAAGCCCCAGGTATTAATAGGCAATGTGATTTATTACAAATCTTTGCTTTGACAATCTTTCCCATTGGAGATCTGAGCTAACAGGGATTAGACAATTTCTGGAAAGAAATGATATACAGAATCAATTGCCTGCATTTCCGGCTACATTGATGAATCAAATTGCCAGCCCTTGAAACTGGAAAAATTTCCAAGGGCTGAATCATCCAGTAATCATATACAGTTTGTTTCAATCTTGTTGAATACTGGGTGAACGAGTGCTTTCTGAGCTACCAAACGAGTCATCATCAAACATTACAGACATTTTTCGAGTCTCATCATCCCACTTAATGACTTCAATTATGTAATTCAGAGCTTCATTTACAGAGGACTGGTCGCGAGCTCTGGTCTGCCAAACAAAAAGCTTCTTTCCTGTGATTGAGGTATAAAGCGCCTTAAATTTCAGAGCAATGTAGTAATAAGCTTGGTGCGCGATGGAGTGACTGCTGCGATAGGGTTTCATTGGGTGGAAGTCAGAGAACCAATCACAAACTGTTAAAGGAACTAACTCGAGTTTTTCCTCAAATGCATCATATTTGTTCAGGAGCAGCACAAATGGTGTGTTTTCAAACGTAGGATGTCTCGCTAAGGTTTCAAGCAAACTTCTGCTGGCTAACATTTTATTGGACATTGACTCATCGGCATGCTCTTCCACCTGGTCGTAATCAATCAAGGAAACACAGAAGACTACTGCTCTGATACCTTCAAACATTTCAATCCATTTGCAGCCACCAAACCATCCATTGGATTTGATATGGATCAATTGATAACTGAAATTTTTCGATACAGAAAACAACATAGTTAGTTTCTGAATAACTCCATGCTTAAAATGAGAACCGATGCTATAAGGCATGGGAAAAGAGAATTTACTTGGTGGATGGAGAATGGACTTCAACGTCATCATCATATCTTTCTGATATATTGGGAGTTTTCTCTTCAAATAAGAATTCAAAAGAAGAAAGGCCATTTTTTGTAGTAACTCCTTCAGCGTACAGTATATGTTCTTCTGAGGGTTGATATTCATTACTTGATATCTCGATAGCCTGACAAAACAATGCATCAGCAACCTTGAAGCCAACTTTTGACAAAGTAATGTAAGCATAAAGGTACCAGATGAATCTTACAAGCCCTTTAAGACAGTTCTTGTATTTGAAAAACTGTTGAAATTATTATAGTTCACAACTAAGATCAAATACTAAAAACAAACAATTTAACAGTACATATTTGGGCCATGGGATTGAACTAGAAGCTTGCAACAGCTCATGCTAGAGTGGATCCGATTGAAGAAAGGATAACAGACCCGGAAAACAGCCTAGAATTTATCAACCAGGGGACATGCATCCTTCAATTTGAAGTATTGAATGGGCAAGACTACTAGATTTGGAAAATGTATGCATGCACAGAATCCCTTTAATTATAAGACAACAAAGAACTCTCTTCAGGGAGCTGGGAAAAAATAAAACGGGTCACTTGAAGCACCTGATCTAAGAAATATTTGGCAACATCTGGAAGCCAGTGAAGGTCCTTCATTCTTTTGTAAGTCTCCTGAATGGCAGGGTCTTGCCACACTTCATATAAAATGAATCCGTATTCACGTGCTGCTGCGGGAAAAAATGCTTCAAAATCTCCCTTAGCCACAGTATCCAGTAACCAGTCACAGAATTTCTTCAATCTTGGTTTGATTGAATGAATGGGCTGCCTTGTTCCATCAAGCAAATCACCCCCTGAAAAGTTTATAATCGTCATTTTTCTCCAATAATTATTGGTGTCTGAAAAAAGGGCCCTTTAGGTAAGACTGCTTAGCTCTCAACATTCAATTCAACACATTGACGGTCGAGAGGTCCACCAAACATCAAGGACAATCTGTTTTTCTAAATACTGGACAAAAATTACAGCAACAATGCCTCTTCCTAGTTCTTTTTGATCACTGAGGTTTAAATTTAGGTGATATCCCTTAAGTAAACCATTCCCAGGTCCATTCAAAAGTAAGAGATATAAATTTATGTCAATTCATATGAATGACAATCTTTTTTTCCTTCAAAAGATGCTCAACTACCATTTTGTAGAATCTCTGAACCAGTAAACTGACATGCAAGAGAATATAAATACTTGACAGATCCCCAAGATTGATGAGGCTAGTTATCGAAAAGAGAACATACAAAGCACCGACAATTCATGTATTTAAAACTTGCAGTGCCTGATATCGCACAGAGAAGAGACATGAAACATTTGGTTCATCTAGACTTTCAACTTGAAGGAGACAAAAGTAACCAGGAAACTAAACGAATTGAACCACAATTCTGCAGTGATCAGAAATGCATCACAGAACATTTGTAAAATGAACTTATAGCTTGATATCTCCCTTGATCAACTACTTTTCCCAGTCCAGCCTAATCCTTTTTTACCTTGTTAAAATTATTTTGCCCATTTTATCCACTAGCAAACTCAATGGTATGAGTCTATTGATTTGCTTTTCCACTTAACCCGTAGGCATTTGGAGAAAGCATTTTCTTTACGTGATTTAACATAACAAAAAAAGTGCATGTATAGACTGTTAGGAGCTGGAGGAAAAACCTTCAGCAGACTTCTCGGCAGGAGTCAACTCATGAGTTGTTCTGGTCAGAAAGGCCTCATCTTCAAAGTATTCTTGTCCTTCGAGTAAGATGCTCAAGTATCTGAATAAGTTACTTTGAATGGTAGATCTGATATCCTGAAGTTCTTGCGCAGTGAATTTTCCATATGTGAATTTGGCCTATAACGTGAAGAATAGGCACAAGAATTAACAGGAATATCACTAAACCAGGCTCCCATTATGATGCAACTCCTAAGGGTGGACATTATTAACTTGGACACTCGAAGTAAAATTCACCAAACTCAGAAAGTACCTGCTTAAAGATGGCGCTTGAGCCAGATCCTTCCAACCCTAAGAGCAAAAGTTTATTAACGTTCTCATGTTCCAAATACCCAGACACAGCTCTCCATGGAAAAGTAGCTGAATCTTCTTTTGGATGGTCTACAATTCCACGCGGTACAGGCAATGAAAACAATGAACAAATCAATCGAGTGGACACCTGCCTGACAAAAAGCACACTTCAATCAGTAATCAACAGCTTGTTATCTGTAGAAGAATTTGCAATTAACCTCATCTGATAAAAATGTATTGTGCCATAGATGAAGAGCGAGAACCTTGGCCCAAATGTTTCCTCTAATGTTATTTTGACCCTCTTCTTCATAGGATCCATCCTCATACACCCAAAAGTGAGTATCACGGAGGGATTGAACTTTGGCTAACTGAAAATAACAGATAGAAAAATTAAATTTCATGATCAGTAAGAATTAGGAATTTTCACCCGATAAACAAGATGAAACTGTACTGCATTATGCTTATTCGAAAAAATATTCAGCATCGTGAAAAAAGCACACCAAATGAACAGAATGCTTAGGTAAATACTTGTCAGGGATCCTAATATAATCATGAACAGAAGGAAGTTAAATTCAATGATAGAAAACACATCAGAGGCAGCTTAGCAACAGCCAAAACATTTTTTCAAAAAAGAAAATAATAAAGAAAAATGTCGAGTTTGATGGTACAAAACTCTACATTATTTTCATATAAGGAACAATGGACCCGCTATTTCTAGTGCAATCTATGAGATGAAAAGATCAAAACGCTTACAACAGAAAATAAAGATAATGAATTTGCATGTCTGGATGTCTAGAAAATGACCTACGTACATATCAACGATTACGCTTAAAGTTAATATATTCAAAACAAACAGTACACCAATTTGCTACCTTTATATTCACAAACCGAGATAAAACAACACACGCCCTGCATTCCACATAAAATCCTTACCTTCAATATCCTGAGCTCCAGTTTTGTGATCTCACGGCCATTAATGTAAACCTTGGTATTCCCATTGCTGGCATTAACCAGAAGCTTGCCTCCCACATGCAGTTTTGCACTGATAAATCTATCAGGTTTCTCTCCCTCCTAAATGTAGCAAAATTGAAAGCAATTAAACAGCCACTAAGTCATTTCACAACAGACATATTACACCAAAAAGAAGCACAAAGAGAAGAAATAAATCACAATGGATCAAGCTAAAATTCTTCACCTGGCCCCAAAGTCCGGAATCCTCATCATACCAATACCTTCCTGGCCTCAGATTACAAGGAGGATTTGCACATCCCATGATTTCCGCCAGCTCTGCTTCCTTTAATGGCCTACCATTGACTACAACTTGCTCGGGGCGTATCTGATTAGCCCTGCACTCTTTCTCGGCCTTCATAATCCGCTTCACTTCGAAACCACTACATACCCTCTCCAACATCCTGGAACATTTCCCCAATTTCTCCCTATTCACCTCGTCGATCGGCTTCCCAATGCACCCTACACATTTCCTTCCCTCCGGCATTGACCCCATTCCTTTCAGCACACAGTTTTTACAGTACTCTGCTCCACAAACTATACACCTCTCTCTCTTACCCCAAATCGAAGATAACCGTCCCCCTCCCCCACACCTACTGCAACCCTTAACCTTTCTCCTATTTTTCACCCCACAAATCCCATCATTACTATCTACATTCAGTGAAGAATCAACATAAGGCTCATCCTCAATCCTATTACTACAATTACCAACACAAGCTTGAAATTTTTCATCATCACGACTAACGACAAGCAAATCAGAGCATAAAGAAGAACAAGAAGCTGAAATTCCATCATCTTTGTCCGAATTTACACGATCACGGTAAACCCTCTCAACCGAGATATCACTTTTACGAGAAATCAGAATCGAATGGTGGGTTTTATAAGGTGAAATGAACTTAGAAGGTTTAGGGATACTACCACTTCTTGAAGGAGGCAAACAAGGAGGAGGGCCTTGATAATCCACCGTAATGGAATAGTCCAAATGGTCCTCGTCCGGCAACGGAGCTCCCGTCGGTAACATTTTCCGGAGAATCTCTTCCCACTTGTTACTATTAGTAGAACTAGCAATATCATGCACTGACAATTCTGAAGACGGTGAAGCTCGAAATTCCGATTCTGGTTCAGGGTCACCCATTTTTCTTCCCTGGGTAAATCCAATCGGAAATTTTTGAAAATTGAGCAAATGGGTTGGCTTTTTTTTCAAGAATTTAGAGGAAAAATTTTCAATGGTTGGGTGGTTTTGATGATCATTGAAGTGGTTGTTTCATTTCAACGATGGAAAAGGGACAGCAACGATGGGAAGAAATTACGGAACGGAAACATTTATACTACATCATTTTACAAAAGATTTTTTGATGTGACAAAGCGGCGGAAGTCAAAGGTCTGGAAACTGAATCATGGATTTTAGTTGTCCGTATTTTCTTCAGACAGTTCGTCATCCACTTGGGAACGTTCGTAACGGTACTTTTCACTTTTCAGTGTGTGTGGATCTTTTTATTAGGAAAGAAATTTCAAGAGAGAGATAGAGAGAGAGAGAGAGAGAGAGAGAGCATTATGTTAATTACTATTAATGATTATTAATATGATTAGTTTTAACTGAGAATAATTTGTAAAATTATTTGACAAAAATCCCTTAAGCATACACCACTTCTTGTATCCTTTTAATAAACTTTTAACACAAAGCCCCAATTTTATTTTTAAATTTAATTTTTGGGCAGTAAGGTGAACACATAACTTGTGAAGATAATATTGTATACTTTCTCGTCCCAAAATTATTGTTTATTTTGAATTTTCACTTTTAATTTAATTTGTATTAAAAATAAAAATTCAAATTAGATTATAATTTCGGGGCAGAAAGAGTATGTAATATGAGTTAACTCTCTTATGACTTGTGAGTCAATTTTAAGATCGGAGTTTGTGTTATCCATGAAATTTTCATCCTTTTTTTTTTCTCCAAGGTAGACACCATGGCGTTTCATATAATGTCACAAAAATAATTTTTCTATTATAAGAGTTCAAGAATGTTATCTAGGTTTGTCCTAAGTTTCACATAGGATAATTTTTTAATTGAAATAAAAATTTTAAAAATATTTTATAATAATTAGGAGAACACCACGAATAAGAAAAATATATTTTTAAGATTTTTTTCCAATTAAAAACGCATTCCAAATAAAACTTAAAGACAAAATCAAAATGCCTTATAAATAAGACTGGAGGGAGTATTTCATAAGACCTAGTAATAAATGTTTTTACGGTGAGATTAGACGATAATTCGGACATAAGCTTTGTTATTGTCTACTATGTTTCTGACAAGGTTAAACTCACTATCCTCTTGAAGTCAGGTCTTGGTGTAGGAAGGTTCATCTTCTCGAACAATGTGTCTGACCTCGATCAATTTTTGAGAGGTCTGTCCGGAAACATTGTGCATATATGAATAAAAGAGATTTCATATCATTTTATTTTATTTTTAATTAATTTTTTTAAACCTTAGATAAACTATCATTAGATTCTGTGAACAGGGGTAAGATGAAGAGATGCAATGTTTCAATTTTCAAATGATCTAGAAGATCGAAATATCAACCTGATGGAGAGAAATGATGGAAATTTGAAAGATTTGCATTTTTCCAAAGTCCAATATTGATAGATATTTTAGCTCAAGCAGCCTACAGTCCAAAAGCTTCAAGTACAGGAAAATACAAGAAAGGAAGAAGCGGTTTATCTCACTAAATAGATCAACAGATTACCATTGAGCCCACTCGATGATCATCCTAATTTTTCCCCATCAAATTTTGAGGCTATCAATAAGAAAGATCAACAACAAACTTCCATGAACCATTCTCTTATTGTGTAATGCTATACTTTGGAGGTTACAACATGACAGAAAAGGAAGTCGCAGTATCACTGAAAAACCTACTACAACATAAACTCTATAGAAAGTAGAATATCAATCTCGGCATAAGCTATATAATTCGGAATTTAAAAAGAGAACAAAAATAATATATCGCTCTGGTTTGAGCGAGTCTTGGAAGGAGTTGGAGGCCTAGTTAAAGTAGTCTAACCTTATATAACTCCAAAAGGCAGTTTCTACTTCCCACAACTTGAAGCTGTGGCCTTCATTGAATCATATGACAACAGCTCCTACTGCAGCGAAAAGCTCCCTTTCTAGGGTGTAACTGAAAAAAGTAAAAACAACTAACACAATACCAGTGGAAGGTAGAACCAGGCAGAATCTATACTGCATTGAGACTGTCCTGCCTCTCCAGTACCTATCTCTTTCTACAGCTGATTCCGAAGATCCAAAAACATGATCCTACAGAATGAAGGGGGGAGAAGATTTTATCATTGTCGCCTGCTCTTCATCTCTTTGCTAACTTGTTCATAAGCACACAGTAATGATGCTCTTGCATTTGCTATTTCAGCAAGAGTTTCCAGAGCTGCAAACACATTGCAATTACATAAATCTGAATCCATCTGAAAGGAGATTATGGAGTTTACTAAGGAAAGATGAAATCTTGGCCAGTATCACTAGAGTTACATTTTACCACAACAAATAAAGATATTAGTTATCTGTTTTTATTATACGAGATTATGGATTTTGTAATGCCAACATAGATATGTTCAAGTTCTTATAAGAGGGACTATGAGGGGGTGCCAAGTAGCTTTTTTTTTTTTTTTTTTTGTTTTTTTGTTGAAATAACATTTTATTAAAATACAAGACTTTTACAGATACAAACTCAAAAACAACCTCAAGGTTGTCTTTGCCATCACATGGGTGCTTTCTACTACACTTCTACTCACTTTAATAACATTAGATCCTTCTACTGCTAAGTAGCTAAGTTGAACTAGAAAGAGCACCACCAATCCATAAGTAGATTACTTCAGTGAATTAAGTGGGGAGGCTAACCCACAAAACCAAAATCAAGCAACCAAAATATAGTTCCTAGTCTAAACAACTGTGTACCAGGAAGCATACATTTTAAAAAATGAATTTAAGGGGCATAGACCATCCACAAAAATGCCGGATAAATGCTCCTAGGATATGGTTTAAGAAAAATGAGTAGCAGTTGCTTGTCCAATATACACACATAAGCTGCTGCTGAAAATTACCTGTCTCAAACGAGAGTTGGGCAGCTCGAAGTTTAGGAGAAAATAATGCTCCAAACATGGAGAGTGACTTGAGTCGCTCCTTTTGAACCTGCAACATAAAGAGAGACATTTGTGAACAAAAACTCTTCAAACCTACGAAAGGTGAAACTGGTTTTGAAGTGAAGAAGTTTTGTCAAAAGAACCCAATAAAACCAATACACGAATATGCATGATTTACATTACAATAGAAAAGAAATCTGCCGTATGACAAGGTGATGATGCGTTTAAGTTGATAAATAACTTACGGGGTCGTCAGCAGAAGTTGGTGATGCATTATTCTCCGTTCGTTTCTCCTTTAGTTCTTCAAAAGTCAGGAAACTAAGTTAGGGTGTGGGAATGATAACAAAGCGTATGGAAAAACATCGTCTTCACATGATTTTGCATTGTAAAAACAATACAAATGCCGAATATGATATCTGCAAATATCTCATGAGTGCGTCTTCAATTTCAAAGAATACATTTGGATTGCAAAAAATACATATACAAGGGAAACTAACATTTCCTTGCATCTCTTTAAACTAATAGAATAAACAATATTAGCAACAGTAATATCAATGTTAAGAAGGGAAACAAGGATTTACCATCACTATCAGACGAGTCTTTCAAGTTGCGCATCCGAAGACCATTAGATAAACTCTGAGCCAATTTATCCTCCTCGAATTTAGCTTCAAAATTCCCACTTTTTGGACTATAAGAAGATTCCCATTTTCGCAACTGGAAATGTGGTTGCTCTACTCCAGAGCTTACTGAAAACAACAAAGCATTGTTCCAAAGAAATAAATCATGTTTCTTCCAATCACTACTAATTGGAAATTATGAAATCCCAAAACTTTTTTTCCATCGATTTGAAATCCAAAACTAGACTACATTACACTACCCATACAAATTCTGTGGAGGGAAAAGATGTCAAACTAAGAGTTTCTGATCGTACTTCAGCATCAAAATACAGTGAAATTCCGTCTATATTCAAACCCAAAACTTCAGAACATAAAATAAACAAAGACAAATTCGAATCATATGATTTGCTATTAAGTACAAACAGAGAAAGATACCATTTTGATGACCCAATTGTAATGTGGTTGAAGCAGAATGTTCTTTGTGGTCAAACAAAGAAGGGTTTATCCGTGAAGTACCCATTGAATGCCGGGCACTAGCTAAGTCCAGCCATCCCTACCATCAGAAACCTCAATTGAGAACATTTTAATAATAGAAAAAAGCCTATCAAAGCCCAAATCAGAAAAACAAAATGATTAAAAAAAAAAAGAAATACCTGGCGAAGAATAGAGGATAAGGAATCCATCAGGGTCAAGTAACCATCCATGGAATCAAGGAACTTCAATACGTTTTCTTCTGGGACATTTTCCTGAATTTCAGTTACTCCGGTGTTCGATTCTTCTATCTCGTTGTGATCCTCACGAGAAGCTTGCAAATCCGAGGTGGGTTTTCCCGCAATTTCTGTCATTATTAGAGAAATTATTACAGGGAGACAACTGGGTGAAGAAAATCGTCCGATTCGCGGATCAATTTAGTCAGGAAGAAGAAGGAAAAAATTGGAGGAGGGAGACGAAAGACTAATCTCTGGAAGTCGCTAGCAAGAAAGCACGCCTTTTGAGCAAACCAACAAAGTAATGTTGATTTATTAGGCTATTATCGAAATCAGCTCCCCAAAGTTTGGTCCGATATCAGAAAAGGCCCAAAGCTTTCTCAAATATCTACGGAGCCCTTGAACTCCAATCCTTCCATGCCTGATGGTCCAGAGAAATAGTTGAGTTCTTTTTGTATAATTAGCGGTTAGATTGATCGACAATTGAATAGAAAAATGACAGACTGATTTCATCTCCAGCTATATGTAATGCCAAGTAGAAGATGATTCAAGAGAGCTAAGAAATTGTTAGGAAATCTTTTTGTCCTTTTTTATTTTTTCCCTTTTTTTGTAAGAAAGCATTTCATTGAGGTACATTAGTTCTTTTGCGTAATGAATTCTTGCTTTCAATGGAGCATTGATGAAAAAGCTCGGATAAACAAGCTTTAAACATACAGTAGAAGTTAAGGTACAAAGAGCTGATTGAAATCTTTAAATGTATAAAAATTTCCAAGATAATAAAATGGTTTATGCCTGAATCATTCGCTTATCGAATCCAGTGCTACGATCAACTCCATTCCAATGTCTACCAGGTCTAATACCATATCGTTTTTGTGGAGGACATATTCCTCCTCTTCTGAGCCAGCTGAAACCCGGAATTCCCTGAGGAATGATGAATCCAGATTCTTTCATCTTCTCATGATCACCTAAATCCTCCAAAATTGGCTCCTCCTTTTGGTTTTTCTTCCCCAAGTACGGCGCCATGGGATCGCCGGACCTGATTCTTTCCCTCAGAATTTTATCAAGTTCAGGGTCATCCAGGCTCCTGGAAAATGGTTTGTGTTTCTCACTTTCCAATTCCTTCAACCTGGCCTCAGCTTCTCGTTTCTGAACCAACCCGGAAAGCCATTCCAGTTTTGATTCCTTCTTCTTCTTCTTCTTCTACTTCGGGGATTTCATCAAGTCAAGCTGTTCTTTCGTAATTTCGTTTACCTGTCAATTTGTCACGATAAACTGGTTCAGCACCTCTGCCACTTATGGAAGGATCCAGTTCCTTAAACCTCTGTAATTCTTCCTTCTTTGCTTTGGTAATTTCTTCTTTTAATTCTTTACCCGTAATTAAACCGAATTTCCCCTGCTGGTTTTGAGCGGGAACTTCGTTAACCTTTCTCCTCCTGGGTGGAGAAAGATCTAAGCCTGAAATCACCATGGCCAATACCGGGAAACAGAGAGTTCAACGGAGGCGGAAGCAGAGACAGGGTAGAATTGTGATTCTGTAATTTCGTTCTTCAAATAGGATACTAATTACCCTTTTCAGGTTTCAGCAATATATATATTGTTATTATTATTCGAAAAAATTTCCCAGATCCTAGTTTTATTAGTATTAAAATTTTTACGCAACAATTAAACAAACTTCCCCTTCACGCGATCTCTTCTGCCGTTGCTACTTTTTAGACCTAATAATCAATTTTGTGACTCTATCATCATCGTCTTCTTCCCGTCTTTTCCCTGTCTGAATTGATAAGATAACTTGATATACTTTTTCCTGGAAAAAACAACAACAATCATGGCAAGAGCTACGGTACAATTAACAGATTTCTCTTTAGCTGCTCCTTCCAGGAGTGATTATTGCCAATCAAAAGGGTCAAGTAGATGCAGAAGCAGAGTCACAATGATCTCCTCCAGGTTGATGACTAAGTTCCCGGGTTTGCGGTCTGCCAACGCGCTGGATAATGTCGTTAGATATGGACAGAGTTTAAGTTCAAAAGTGGTTTCAACTGGCGGCCGGAGAGAAAAGTGTAGCCGGATTGTGCCGAAAGCTATGTTAGAAGGCTTTACAGAGGCAAGTTTGGGTGTGATTAAGTTTGCAGAGAATGAGTCAAGAAGAATGTGCCATGATTCCATAGGCACTGAGCATATCTTATTAGGTCTTCTTGGTGAGAAGAAATATTTTGCTGCAAAGGTCCTGAGATCCGTTGGGATCGAATTAGACGATGCACGTGAAGAGGTCGAGAAAATCCAAGGGAAAGGAAATAGATCGGTGACGCATGTCTCTTACACAGCCCAGGTAGAGAGAGTTTTGGAATTTGCAGACGAGGAGGCTCGCAAACTCGACCAAGTTTATATTGGGACGAAGCACCTGTTGTTAGGTTTGGTCCGCGAAGATGAATGCGTGGCAGCTAAGGTTCTCGAGGAGCTTGATGTCGATCTCAGTGAGATTCGCTCAGAGGCATTGAGAATGGCGGGCCATCAGGATGCAGAAGAAGTACTTGCGGACTATGGCACGAATATATCGAAGCTCGCTGAGGAGGGGAAACTGGATCATCCTGTTGTTGGAAGACAGGAACAGATTTTGCGTGTGATTCAGATATTGTGTCGAAAGGAAAAGAACAATCCATGTCTTATTGGAGATTGCGGGGTACGGAAAACAGATATTATTGAGGGCCTGGCTCAACGGATTGCCAAGGGTGATGTTCCTAAGAAACTTCAGGGGAAGAAGATCATGACATTAGAGACTGGCAAGCTGACTTCTGGATATATATACCGTTATGTATGTTCGGAAAAGATGGAGGGATTGATGGAGAAGATAAAAGAAAGTGATGATGAAATCATACTTTTCATTGATAAAATGCACACATTGATTGATGGACATGGAGAAGTTTTCAAATCGGCTCTTGCCAGCGGTAAACTGCAGTGGATTGGGGCTACAACGGAGCACGAATACCAATACAACATTGAAACAGATCCAGATTTTGAGAGCAAGTTCCAGCCTGTTAAGGTGCCAGAAGCTTCTGTGGATGAAACTATTCAGATTTTGAAAGGACTTCGAAAGCAATACGAGATCCATCACAATGTACGTTACACGGACGAGTCTTTGGTCGCGGCTGCCCAGCTCGCGCACCAATACATCAAAGGCCGTTTATTGCCTGATAAAGCAATTGACTTGATTGATGAAGCCGGTTCTCAGGTTCAGCTCCGCGAGAATGATCTTTCAGGGAAAGTTGGGGAGTTTGAAATAGAACTCAGACAGATCGCAAAGGAGAAGGATGAAGACGTCCGTAATCAAGACTTTGAAAAGGGCGCGAGGTTACGTGACACTGAAACGGACCTAAAGGCTCAAATGTCGAACCTTGCTGCGATAGATAAAGAGGTGAGCAAGACAGAAACAACTCAGGTAAAAGATGAAGCACCGGTTGTGACAGAAGTGGATATTCAGCAAATTGTGTCGAAAATGACTGAGATACCTGTTGAGAAAGTGTCCAGTGATGAATCCGATCGGCTCCTGAAAATGGAAGAAACGCTGCGCACTCGAGTTATCGGACAGGATGAAGCTGTCAAGGCCATTAGTCGTGCTATTCGCCGCGCTCGTGTTGGACTCAAGGACCCCAAACGGCCTATTGCGAGCTTTATTTTCTCTGGTCCAACTGGAGTGGGGAAGACAGAACTAGCTAAAGCACTGGCAGCTTGCTACTTCGGCTCTGAAGACGCGATGATCAGGCTCGATATGAGCGAATACATGGAAAGCCATACCGTATCCAAGCTCATTGGTTCGCCTCCTGGATATGTTGGTTACAAGGAAGGCGGACAGCTGACTAGAGCTGTGTGCCGGCGTCCATATACCGTTGTCCTGTTTGATGAGATCGAGAAGGCACATCCAGATGTTTTCAACATGATGCTTCAGATCCTCGAAGACGGGCGCCTGACCGACGGTGTGGGTACCACAGCTGACTTCAAGAATACACTTTTGATCATGACATCTAATGTGGGAAGTAAAATCATCGAGAAAGGCGGCCGAGGCTTTGGTTTTGATCTAGATTACGACGAGAAAGATAGTAGTTACGACAGAATTAAAAGCCTGGTGAAAGATGAATTGAAACAATATTTCAGGCCTGAATTCTTGAACAGGTTGGATGAGATGATAGTGTTCAGGCAACTAACTAAACTTGAGGTGAAGGAGATTGCTGACATTATGCTGAAGAAAGTGTTTGAGAGGTTGAAGAAGAAGAAAATACAACTTGAGGTTACAGAGAAGTTCAGAGATAAAGTTGTTGATGAAGGTTACGACCCGAGCTATGGAGCTCGGCCTCTACGAAGAGCGATAATGCGACTGTTGGAGGACAGTTTAGCTGAGAAGATGCTAGCGGGGGAGATTAACGAAGGCGATTCAGTCATCATAGACGTCGATTCAGATGGCAATGTAAACTGCCTCAAAGGCAGTGCCGGCGGCGCCGTATCAGGACCACTGCCTGAGGAAATTACCACTGTGTAGATGGAAATTTTGTTGCTTCTTCCTCTTGTAACTCATTTACAAAAAAACTCATTTAAAAGACACTAAGTTGTAGGAGCCAAAAGGTTATTTGAACATAATCTTTTCAGATTCAGAGCCTTCCATCAACTGATGAATTCATGATATCAAAACTTGTGTCAATGAACCTTAATGTCAGAGTTCTGGACATCTTAACGTGGCTTCCCTTATCATTATGTAATTTGGAAGAAAGTTAAAAGGCAACTCACTCAAGCTAAAGTACACGAGGAAAAACAGATTCAAGAAATTCACAAATTACGACACTTAGGTCCTCAAACTTAATGTATGAGTATCTCAGATCTTATAACCTGAATGAAAGAACAAGCCAAACGCAAGAATCAAAGAGTAGCTCATTTTTAAGGCATAAAACGAAAAGGTAACATCAAACAGGTCTACCGAATAGTACAAATGTGGAAGACACTACTTTGTAGTAGAAGCTTATATCCTAGCACAAGATCAAAAAACTTCTAGCATGAAACTCTCAACAGCTACTTCCTAGTGCTTATACTTTACTTCCAGATTGATCACTAAAACAGGGTTCATAAAATTCATGACTTATGTAATGGAGATCTAACATTTAGAAGAAATTAGTACGATGCAGGCTCCTGAATTAGAATTACATTCCCAAAAAATGCAGGCATAAATCAAAACCATGATTGTAGATTGCACCTTAGCTATCGCAAAATTTTTTAAAATATACGCACAAGTTACTTTGGTATCAGATCTCAGTTACCAATATATATAGTTGAAACCTATTCACTAGAAAGTATGGCCAAAGTTCCAAATGTACTAATGGTCAAATCTTGTATGAATCTTCCAGACATATCACTTTTTGAAATACTCCTCCCAATCAAATTCGAAAGTTCAAAACTAACATGAGTCTGATAGATCAGACGCAATGGAGTACAGCTTTTCTTGCGCTGATATAGTTTTATATAATAATATAAAAAAGAAGGACAAAAAAAAAAAAAAGTAAGTAGAATATCCTTTGTATTAATCTCATAAGCTTCATTATATGACAGGTTAAATAACTTAAAGCAGATGAGTACAATAAAAATCCTTTTTTCTTGTAGTACAATCCTTAATTATGAAAGAGTTTTAGAAATATCGAGAAGATGTATAAATTAGATTCGTTGACGTCTTTTCTTCTTCTTCTTTTTTTTTTTTTCTAAACTAATGTCCTGCCAAAAAAACTAGTAAGAAATATTCCACCAGTCTCATATTAATAGTTTACTTTGTTATATTAAAATGCAAGAAAAAAAAATACTATCGGATAGTTATTAAAAAAAAAACAAATGTTGAAGATATATAGAACATCATGGAGAAAAGAAGCAAAAGTACAATCTGTGTTGCCATATATATATCACAGCTTTATCCTCATCACAATTCACAGGAAATAGTACAACATAACGTAGAAAGGAAATGAAATGCAATATGCAAAAACACACTGTGATTTTTGGCATCAAAGCAATAAATGGATCGGATGATTTTAGTGGCCGTCTTATTGTTCATCCATCATCAGTACATATATATCATGCAATAAGTTCATGCATGCATATATATATATATACACACACACTTAAATAGAACCAGAATCGTCACCACGGAAAAGAGTGTAACGGTAGAATGACAAACTCATTTCCAGGATATCTCCCATTACGGGATCACGGAAGTAAGTGCTGGCCGTCCCGAGCCCATTCGCCATCCGGAGATCGCCGGAGCCGCCGATCACGGAGAATTCCCGGTACCTAGCGCCCACCAAATTACGCCCGAAGACGCTGAGAGTGCTACCTTTGAACTGGCCGGTGGTGAAGACGATGTTAAGCATCATTATGGAAGTCCTTTCTCTCTGTCCGGCAAATGCATAGGTCCCTTCGCAATAACCGATGACCTGCGCCCCCGGGTGGTCGCTCAGCGGTTGTTGGGTTAAAGGGGCGTCTATAACTCGGACCAAACCGAAACTTGTGTCCGGATTCGAGTCGGTTGTGTTCGCCTGAGCGACGACAACGCTCGCCGGAGGGTCCGTGTTGAGGATGTTGTTGAGATAGAAGTGAACCCTAGTGAATTGAGGTCTTGCGATGGGATAAGTGAGTTGGAGCCATTTTGCCACTGAATCAGGGCTTTGGTCATCGGGAAGGCCATGACCAAATGAAGCCATGGTCATGAAAACAGTTGCAAGAAGCAGCATTGCTACCTTTTTCATCATCATTCTTTTCTTCTTTTTTTTTAATCGATGAACAAGACTCTTATTGTAAGATATATTGTTTGTGTGTGGGAGTAATGAAGATGGATTCACGTATTTATAGGGAGAGTTTGATGATGAGAAGTACCGTATAGTAGGAGATACATAGAGAAGGGGGGGAAAATCAAGAAAAATGGTCACCAAAGTCTCTAACTATGAGATTGTCGTTACGAGGAATAGAGGGAGACTTGAACGCTCTTTGGACCACGGTCGGTGTCATACCACGGCTTTAACATTTTAGGGTTTCACCTCCTTATTGTACTGAATGGAACTAAAAATTGTTCTATCTATCTTTTAAAAAAATAGTTTATGTTGAATTTTTAGTTTCGTACATTTTTTGGGGGGACACATTTCAAATAGTACAAATCTAAATCTTAATATGAACAAGTTTTTAAATGTATATTAAAATTAGTACAAATTTCGAAAATCAATGTGAATTATTTTGTTAGACAGAGATATAGTATTTTTTTTTTTTTTTGTTGAAAGAGAGAGAGTAAATATAGTTTCATGCAATAAAGACCAATAATAATAATAATAATAATAATAATAATAATAATAATAATAATAATAATAATACTAAAGCCTAAAAGCATCACTCCTCCCATAACATTTGAGAATAAGAAACAGTGAATCAAAATTTACAAATGTTAATAAATATACTATCTCTGGCCCTCAAAAAATTAGTTTACATTGAGTTTGATATTTTTATCGTATAAATCCAAGAACTTAAACACCATTTTCCTTGGGACAAAGTGAGTAATATATTTTTAAAAATGTTATTTTCTAAACGGATTTAATAACCATAAATTTGAACTCTGTCTAAAAACTTACTCGTTCCGGTCCTTATCATAAGATATTTTAAAAGTTTTCTTTAGTCATCTTTATAAAGTATTTGATGTCTTTGAGTTTCATTTATAGTGTATTTTTTACTTTAGTTTAACTTAAATTGCATAAACTTTAATTTGATTGATTTCGAGAATTATGAGGGATATTTCTGACACGGATAATGTAAATAGTTCAAAAAAATGTTTAACTTAATTATTTTTTTAATTATTAAAAATTGATTATATAATGTTATATTAAGAACCGGAGAAAGTACTTTCTTTCCTTTTCTTTTTAATTTCTCCCATGATGCGGCCATGCGGCGGCCGCAAATAAATTTCACATGTAGATGGCGTTTCAAACGTCTAAGATAACGTTGAACGGCGTGATCGATCATAATTCATCTATAATGTTGAACGGTGCAACGGTAATCGTTGGCTTATTAAATTGTTGTACTAGCCCTTGTATTTTATTTTGTTATTCTTTTCAGCAAGAAAGCGGAGAACCAATAATCATTAGCCAATTTTGCACGTTTTACGTACTCCTGCTATTTAAAAATTTTCATCATAAATAATTCTCTCCGACTAATTTTGATAATGATAAAGTAAATTACTAAAATGAAAGAAAAGAGTAAAAAAAAAGAAAAAAAAGAAGAGAGATGATCAATGCGATGAAGACGATGACGATCGATATCTACTCGTATGGACCAGAAATCTAGAGTGGTGCAAGGAAATCTATAGCTTGATTGCTCTCTCGACCCGGATTAAATATATGGTACTATATTACCAAAATGACTGATGTTGATGCCTATTATTTCCACTTATTATGAGAAATTTGCAGTAATTCTTGTTCCCAAGCCACACATATATAGAATTTTTTCCTTAAATATATGTAAAAAAAAAAACCTAGACAAAAATAAAACTTTTTAAAACCTTGTGGACAAATTTATATGCCCCGGATTTAGGAAATCCGAATGGGGGGAAAACTCGGATTTCGGAAATCCGACCCCAACTAAACTCGGATTATTAAAATCCGACTTTGTATTACGTAAATCTGAAATTAAGTTAATGACAAAAATTAGTGTAATTAATCTAAATTCGGATTTTATAAATCCGATTTTATGAATAAAATATTAATTTCCGGATACTATAAAAAAATGTGTTGAAAAATTAAATTGGGCGAACTCGGATTACAAATCCGAATGCTGCTCTTTTCGAAAAATGGTGACTCCCGGTTGGCCAAAGACTCGGATTTCGAAATCCGAATCCTTTAGAAAAGTCCGGGTTCGGATTTCGCAAATCGAGTCTTTGTCGAAGCGAAAAAAATTGGACTGATTTTCACCAGTCCTAAACATGTTCTGAGACCAACAACAATGAAACATTGGAAAATAGGAATTTAATAACAACAAAACAATAAACGGCATTCAATTAACAACAAAATAAATCAAGTTTCATAAAAGTTCAATACAAAAACTACAATAAATGTCCAAAATAATGAAATGTCTCATTTTTCCCTTTTCCTTTATTGTGCGCATCCGGAGTGTATTTGTTTGGGCCTGTCGGATCCTGTCTCCTCTTAAGATATGTGAGTATTGAACTTTGGTGTGGTTGCGATCGTCCACCAAACCGAGCCTCGATTTGGGGTTGAGATTGGGACTCCCCCATGGTGATAAATTTGACTCCCGGTTGTGGTTGCAACTGTCCACCAAACTGAGTCTCAGGTCCACCAATGTCAAACTGAGTCTCGGGCCCACCAATGTCAAACTGAGTCTCGGGTCCACCAGCTTCTTCAAAATGAGTCTCGACCTGGATGCGCGAGCTTCGAGAGGAATGTGCTTGATCCTCATTTTGTTGACCCTCAGTTTGTTGTTGCGATGTCCGAGGGGAGATTGTGACCTTTC